GGGGGCCAAAGATGGGAGGGGAGGGGGCAAAAGATGGGAGGGAGGTGGCTGGGGATCAGGGCCAGGTCTGGGCGTGGACAGAGGCCAGGCAGACACAGCCTGAAGAGGCTGACCCTGTAGGGCTGGAACAGGGCTCTGAGCCGGCGCCCCAGGGTCCTCAGTGTGTGGCAGCCTGGCCAGGGTGAGGGCCTCCACGCTAACTAATAAAGGAAGAGCGAAGCCCAGCTGCTCCTGCAGTTTGCCAGCAGTGAGAACACCTGGGGAGGACAAAGAAGTCAGGGCACCTGTGCTGCCTGGATGGCCCAGGTCCACGTGACCCAGGGCCCCGCAAGGCTGGAGACTCAGGCAAGGATCAGAGCTCACAGCGCTGGGACGGGGAGCCGGCCCCTCACGGCCTCTCCAGTGTGTGACTCAGGTGTCCAGAGGGTGGTGGGAGCCGGGGCCAAGGGGCAGAGCCAGGGCCAGCGAGTGCAGGGCTGGACAGGACAGAAGCCCAGGGTCACTGCCAGGCCAGCACCACAGACACAGGAGCCCAAGATGAGCCCCGGCCCGGAAGACAAGAGAAGGGAAGTCTGTGGCCTCCACAGGAAGTGGGGTCTGGGGCCGAGGCTGCCCACAGGCCCTTTGGCTGTGAGGGCTGCATACACATTTGCAGGCTGTGAAGGTCCACGGGGAGGGAGGTTTCCAGACACCAAGCGGAGTGGGGGCCTCAGGAGGGAGCAGCCACACGCCTCCCTTCTGCCCTGCGTGGCTGACACACTGGTGTCCTCCCCGGTCTGCAGCCCAGAGCATGGCCCATCCTCGCTGCTCAGCTCCGCCCATCCCGGGTGCACTGGGGCAGCCCGAGAGCCAGGCCTTGGGGGCAGAGCAGGCGGCTTCCACCTGCGGGGGAGCGGGGCCAGGAGGCACAGACCCCGGGCAGAGGGAAAAGCACCCACTGGGGTGGTACGGACAGCACCCACAGGCAGGGCTGGGGAGGGCCCGCAGCCGGCACGGGGAGGAGTTTGGAGAAGCGGGGCAGAGCTGCAGGTACCATGAGCACGGATGGGCGACGGCTGGCGTGTTTGAGACCAAGCGGAGGGCCCGGGAGGGGGCACGAAAGCCCGAATGCCCAGTAGTTCAGCCTTGTCGCGTAGGTCAGCGCTCCCCAGAATGTGCGCTGAGGCAGGAGGTGCCTTAGCAGGGCGGCA